AATGGGGGGAACCTGTCAGGTGGGGGGGCCTGCGTGAGGGCTGGAGGAGGTCTTGAGGTGTCTGTAAGGGGATAGTGGGGGGAGCTGCAGGACTGGGAGAGCGTGATGCTGGGGGAGTTGGGTCTGTGTGGGGGTGGGGGGCCTGTGGGGCTGGTGTGCTGCGGGGGGAGAGCGTGGGTTAGGGAGACTAGAGCAGGTTTTGGGGAGCAGTATGGGCTGTGGGAAGGCATGTGGGCTGAGTCCTGAGTCGGGGATGGGCTCGGGGCTGGTTTCATGGCCTTGGTGTCCGGGCAGGAAGGGGGGTTGTGGCCAGGCCTCGATGGTTTGGTTTAGGGTTGGGGTTTGGGGCTGGGCCTGGGGTCACAAGTGAGTTTGAGGTGACGGATGGGAGTGCGCTCAGGGTTGCAGCTCAGGGGCTTTGTCTTGGGGTTCAGGGGTCTGCCTGGCTCGGACTGGGCATAACAAGATAGCTGGTTCTAAAGCTCAGTGGACTTTTCCTTGTGAAGCATGGCAGACCCCAAGGTGAGCGAACACCTTCTCTAACGTGTAATTATTCCTGACAGTGAAGCAGATATCCCCATCGATGTTGAGACGGTGACGCCCACGCCTGTGCCCCTCTACGACAACCAGAAGGCGCGCAGCGTGATGAACGAATGTGAGCGCCACGTGATGTTCGCTCGCACGGATGCTGACGCCCCTCCGCCGCCGGACGACTGGGAGGAACATGTCAACAGGTAGCGTGGGGTTAGCAGAGAAAAGAAATTCAGGCACTAAACAGCCCCGCCCCAGTGTGGGGTTTCTTTAGTGTGACTCGATACACAGTGACATTCCTGAACTGAATAGTGTTCAAAGAAAATGAATTCTCATGTCCAAATTCCTCATGTGCCTGCTGTGAAAGCTGTCGGATTTAATGGTAGAGGCTGGTATAGATATCACTCCTACACTAAAAGGAGCGATTATTGTGATTATTTTGGCGTTATTTATTGCTTCTGCTGTTACTCTTGCCTTTCTGATGCTTGGACGTTCACCGCAACACCTCAGTGACATTTATAACCTGGTGTGTTTTACTGAACCATCCTCTAACTTAAATCCTCAGTAGTGAAACTCACTTTGTCCGTAGCTGTAAATTGGTTCTTGAGGCTGCAGTCGCAGCTGATGCCCAGCTGTGCTGCCGACCGCCTTTGGAACGGGCAGCAGCTTTTAGGACCTGGATGGCTGTGTAATGGTGACATACGTTTCCCCTCTGGTTTTCTCAACAGGACAGGGTGGACAATGGCCCAGAACAAGCTATTTAATAAGATACACAAAGCGCTGCAGTCTGACAGGCTGGCTCGCTTGGCTAACGAAGGGGTAAGGTCTTTTACTCCCTATTTCACTTTGCCTATGTGTTTTTATTGGTCCTTCTTAGTAAAGCCTGATTGAGTCAAGGTGGAAAATCTTGGCCTTTGGGTTGTGTAGTCTTAATCAGGCAGCTCAGGGCTCGTCTGAGGCATGATTTTGTCCTCACTGCTGGTCTTTGCTTGCTGCCAGAGGACTTTGGGCTGCTCGAGCCAAAACTGTGGCTTGGGATGCACGAGGCGTGCTTGATTTCCCTCCCCCTGCCCCCCATAACTGTGTTTCTTTTTTAACTTCCTGGCTTTTAGGCTTGCAATGAGCCAGTCCTGAGGAGGATAGCAGTGGACAAATGCGCCCGGAGGGTCCGCCAAGCTCTGGCTAGTGTGAACTGGGACACCAAACTGATCCAGTGGCTTCACACAACGTTGGTGGAAACCCTCAGTTTGCCAGTGCTGGCTGCTTACTTGGACGCTCTGCAAACGCTTAAAGGAAAGGTGATAAAAACAGTGAAAGATTTTGCTATCATTTATAATGTTCTTTATTTATAAAGCTCGTTAAAGGAAGCTGATGGAGCCTTTGTCCTTTTTCTTTGGAGTGGCAGGGACGATGTTTAAAAGCCCCTTGAAAAGGCTGCATGCGTCTTCTCAGTCCTTTCTGGCCTCTGGTTTCAGATCCCCACCCTGATCGACAGGATGCTGCTCTCCTCTACCGCGAAGACGGGGGCGGCGGGTGCTGAGGCTCTGTCTCTGCTGCTGAAGAGACCTTGGGACCCAGCAGTGGGTGTCTTGTCACATAATAAACCAGTGAGTACTTCCTGGGGCATGCAGGGAGCGAGAGGCTGGTCTCCCATCAGCTTTATTCTTCCCATCTTTCTGCTGTCCTCTTCCTTTCACCTCTGTCTTGCTTCCTGGGGTCTTTTCCTCCTGCTTTAGACTTGCTCAGTGTCCTTCTGTTGGACACCCCACCCCTCCACCCCCATCCTGAGGTAGCTTTGGCTGGGGAAACTGATCAATTAATGAGCTATGCAAGATCCTTCCTGCTTTGTTGTGCAGACCAGGCTGGGCAGCGAGTTCTCAGGAAGGAAAGTTGCTTTCCCTTAACATGTCTCTTGTTGAACTTTGTAGAGCAAATTGCCCGGTTCCCCCCTCATCCTGATCGCTTCCTCTGGACCCTCCAACTCCATGTTCCCCACTTCTCGACGGCACCGATTCTGGCAGTCACAACTTTCCTGCTTGGGAAAGGTTCGTATGGTTGGTTTTGAAAGGAGGGAAGTTCAAACTAGCAGCTGTGCTAGACTGTGGCTGCTGAGCTTGTTTTTATAAGCCTTTGGTGCACCAAAATACTTGTTTCTGCTGAAAGCAGAGGCTGGCATCTGCCAGCTGCGGATTCAAGACACTGCAAGGGGATGAAGTTGCCCAAATCCGATGTGTTAGGGATCTTGTGCTGACTGAAGTCATCCATCTTGAGCAGCTTAGATTGTATCATTACTGTTACGAAGGATTGATGAGTCTGCTGGCAGGAAGAGGTTGGAGGAGAGAGACTACAGGTCTCCTTAGTCCTCTGCCTGGACACAGAGCTGCTCACACGCCTCCTAATTTGGTAGATATACTGGGCGTATAGGAGCGAGGTGAGGAGCAGGGTTGGTCTCTGTGGGGAATTCTCCATTTCCTCTGGTTTTAGTAGCTAGAAGTGAATCCTGGGGGAAAGAGGGAGAGAGAAAGCACAAGTTCACGGATAAACTCCATGGGCATTGTCGTCAGTACCTGTTGTCTCCAGTAATGCCTTCGTTATTTATCGATCTTTCATTTTGAACTGCAGGTGATTCCCATCGCCACCCACCTAAAAGGGGGGGAGTGTTGCAGTGTCTCGAACACATGATTGGGGCGGTGAGGGGAAAAGTAGCGGAGGTACGTGAGAGCCACGAGCTTATCGAGGAGCCTTCGCTGCTCCCTTCAAACTATTCACCTTGCCTGTAGGTGCTGTGCCACCCCAGTGCATCATCCAGTTGTCTGTCCCTCTTCTTCATCCCTGTCTTCCCCCCCAAATAGATTCACAACCACTTCTCTCACAAGCCGATCATCCTGATTGGGTGGAACACGGGTGCCTTGGTGGCCTGTCATGTAAGTACTCAATTCCTTTGCATCCTCTTGGAGTCTACTTGACATTCGGAGTTAGATTTGAATTATTGTTGCGTTTAAGGCTCTGCCAGAGTTTGTCTTGTCCCTTTTCTCTTTCCAAGGCCTGGCTTTGGGACAGACATCATTCCTGGTCATAAGCAAATTGAGTCATCCCATGGTTCCTCCCCCACTTTTTAAATCAACAAAGCAAAGTCTAAATATGGAAGATACTTCTGTGCCTGGCAAAGCAGCCTTCGCGCCATTGATGCGCTTGACTGTTAGGATACTGACTGTTGCTTTTTCTACCCAGGTTTCAGTGATGGAGTATGTCACTGCAGTTGTGTGCCTTGGATTCCCGCTTCTCACCGTTGATGGCCCCAGAGGGGTAAGGACCAAAGGGAGATGGAGCCACTTAAAGAACTGGACTTTCATTTTTAAAAAAATATTTCTAAATTGTTTCGTAGAATCAGGCTTGGAAGTCCGGTGATAACTGGAAGATTTTTTTGAGGAAGGAATGTGTGATTTTTTTATTTGGAAGAGGTGTGTCCCGCAGGCAGGGCTGTTGGATTTGTAGTAGGATTCTTGATGCGATAGCAGGCGTGAGAAGTCCTGTGTTTGCTTGCCTCTGCTGTGACGTCTTTTTGCAGCTCCTTCCTGGGGTTTTATGTGTGGGTCACTTGTTAACCATGTCACTTGGCACATGAGAGGACAACCTGGGTTGATTTATATGGAGCCCAAATTGCTCCTTTATTATTAACAGCACTATGTACTCATTCAGCTTCTGAGTCAGTCTTTCTCACGAGATGTTTAAACAAACCGCACAATTTATACTTCTCTCCTTTCACAACGCAGTTGGTATGTACTGGGATTGCACATGAAGTGCTATCTGCCCCTCTGGCATGTGCCTTCCCTTTTTGGAAATGCTCATTTAATTCAGAAGGGGTTGGGCTCCACAGACTCTGTGTGCATCCTGGATCAGTCCTTCCAGATTACAGTTTCCCCTTGCTCTTGCAGGACGTTGACGACCCTCTCCTGGAGATGAAGACACCTGTCCTCTTTGTGATCGGTCAGAATTCCCTGCAGTGCAACATTGAAGCGATGGAAGATTTCCGGGAGAAAATACGAGCCGATAACAGCATGGTGGTGGTGGGAGGAGCAGATGATAATCTCAGGTAACGGTCTGCGAGGCGGAAACTCTCTTCCCAGGGGCACCGGGCAAGATCTGAGTCTGCAACCTATAAAAAAGACAACCAAACACCCAAATTTGATACTGAAACTAGATGGGAACTGCAGAAAAATGCTCCATCAAGGTTGAGCTTTGTAATTCTATTGTTGGATAGAGGGTTGTTTTTCTGTGATAAAATCTGCATCGTTTCTGCCAGTGGTCAGTTAAAGACCAAGGGTACGGTGTGGTATGACACTAGAGCAAGTATTTGCTTTTTCATGCCACCCCTGGCTCCAAAACACGTACCTTTTGGAGACTGTGAACAGAATTGGGTAAGGGAGCCTGCAAGAGCCTTGCAGGAAGCAAAAAGCTCTTAAGGTTTCAGTAAACTTTGGAGCTTTTTCTCGTCACGCTTGCGCGTGTTTAGAATAACCGCAACAAAAACCTATGTCATGTTTGTTTTGCAAAATGCTTTGGGCTGTTGGGCCTCTTTGCTCGTCATTGAAGTTTGTCTCGGCACTTCTGAGGGATGACTCTCGTCTTTCCAGTAGACGGTGCTCCTGAGTTGAGAGCTCACGGAGCTGGCTCTTGCCTTACTCTGTGTCTAACAGGGTAAAGGAGCGAGCTTGCTGTCACTTGAATCCTGATGTAGCTAGTCTGAAAGTGGAAAACCAAACATGTGTTGACCTCCATCTGTGGTTATTTTTTTTTTTAAATAGGATAAGCAAAGCCAAAAAGAAGTCAGAAGGCCTGACCCAGAGTATGGTGGACAGGTGCATCCAGGTAACCCCAGAAATCTTCCTTTTACACCTCATACCTATATAAAAAAAAAAAATATCTGTGCAGAAATGTCTTGGTGACCTCGAGTTATACCCTTACTGCCAGGATTAGTTTCATCATGTTTCTCTCCCGTGTGTCAGAAATCAGTGGAGTATGAGCTTTAATGAGAAAGCCACGTCTCTGTGTAAGGTTTAAGGGTTTCTTTTTGCAGGATGTTAAACCTAGAGAGCCTTATTTGTTTGTCCCTTTGGGAATATTTCATTCTTTTTTTTTTGTCTCAAGCTGTGAAGATCAGCTGTTCAGAGACCTGCGTGCCACTTAATCTAACTATTTGCTTCATCCTTCCTAGGATGAAATAGCTGACTTCTTGACTGGAGTCCTCACCCGTGCAGAGAGCCACTCTGGCTCTGATCCCCGTGACCTGGACGCCGAGAAGAAGAAGAAACCACGCGACTCGACCAGGAGAGATCTGTCATTTGACTTGCCAGAAAGAACCAGCAGACCTGCCTCACCGGCAGCCAAAGTGCCCGCTTCACCTTCGGGCTCAGAGGTGGGGGCTCTCTTTGAGCTGGGGAAGGCTGAGGTTGTGTAAAGAGATGCTTTCATACCGCTGAAATACGCGGCGAGAGATGTGGTTAGTGTTGGTAGAGGGAGTGAGAGGATACGGAGGGACCAACGGCTTGCGGTGGGGTAAAAGAACCTTCAGAAATAGATCGTCTCGCCTGTGTGCTGTTACGATCAGGGTTAGGACTGCCTCTTAGGGGAATGCGGGAATAAGAGGCGTTCCTTCTCTTCGAGCAGGACTTATCCAGTGTCTCCAGCAGCCCCACTTCGAGCCCCAAGACTAAAATGGCTGCTGTGTCCTCCATCCAGAAGCCCAGCCAGATCGGTGCCACGCAGCTGCTGAAGAGGCAGGTGCAGAGGACAGACAACGTCCTGACGCACAAGCAGGCACAAGGTAATGCCCTGCAGCTTTCCCACCCTCTTAGCATCTGGATTTTTGGTCTTTATTTGTCCTGAGGTGTTTAGGTTTTTTGTCTTCTGAGTCCTGTCTTGAATTCTGAGCTCCCCGTGGCAGCTTTCTCTACAGCTCAGTCCCCCGTCACTGTCATCTGAAAGCAACAGCCTGTGCAGGGTTGAAATTAGGTTGGAAGTGGTGTTTCTGCAGCTTGTGGAGCCTTGCTGTTCAAAGTGGGAAGGATTTTCACTTGCTCTGGCTGACCAAATTGCAACGTAGTGGTGCTCTCATTGTTTTTCCAGTGCAAGCCCCTTGACTCATAGCCCTGAGGCTGCTTGGGAGGAAGGCTAAAGGTGCTCAGGAGATGATTGAGGCTTTTGAATTGTGACTGAAACAGTGGGGTTTGGGTATTCACAGAGTCATCGTGCATCAAATGGCAGTGGAAAACCTGCTCTGAGTAAGAAAACAGCTTGAGCTGTTGGTTTTTGGTTTGTTTTTTTCTCTTTCTTGTCCTGTTGGATGATGATGAAAAACCTTGTGGTGCAGCTTCAGTCTGATTGTGAACACTGTGAATGTAGGTAATGGTTTTGTCAATGATGATCCCTTCTGGCAAATATCAGCAGTACCTGGGGAATAGTTCTCCATCCTCCTTTCTCTCCTTATTTCTTTGCTCAAGACAGACCTGAACAGGCTCATTGTTGTCTCCTGCAACAGTGTGACCCTCCACGTTCTCTAAAGCCTTTCTCTAACTCAGAGGTCAGCTCCAGGAGGAAGGTCAAGCTTGGATCTCCCTTAATTTCTCAGAATCTATTCCTTTTGTTGTTGTAGTTGAGGGAGGAACTTTCTAGATAGCAGGAGGAGAGTCTGTGGAGTGGGGTGTGTCGTGGCTGCCTTGTTTTGTCAGGAGTGCTGCTGCAGTGTGGCATCTGGCCTGTGTTTTGTGGCTGTAGCTGTTCAGGGATGTGCTGGCTGACGTCTCCCAGCTGCTCTCAGCTTCTCGGCGTAAGCGCTCGGTCAAGCTAGACGTGCCTCTCGTAGCCAAGCCCGTTCTCGATCCCTGGGCGCCGAAGTCTTTCCCAATGGCTGTGGGGCCGGAGAGGGCTCGTGCTGTTGGGACATGCTCTCTGTGGAAACTGGGATGATGATGCCCCTTCTAGTATCGGATGTGCTACGCTCTCTGTCTGGAGAGGAGGTCGGTGTGTCTCTGTTGCGCCCTGTGGCTGGATGAGTTATGTCTGGAGCTCTCTGCCTGCCTGCCTGCTCCGAGATCTCTGTCTGTGGGTTGCAGTGGTGTCCCTGGAGTTCCCTGTCCCCTCCAGACCCGGGCTGTGATACTGTAATTCTCTCTGATTCATTTCAGCTCAGTTCGCTGCTTTTCTGAAACAAAACATGCTGGTGAGGAAAGCTCTTCCTCCTGGCACCTCTTCATGTCTCTTTGGTGAGTATCTCCTCACTTCTCGCTGTCTCTCTCTCTGTTTCTTTCCTTCCCTCTTTCTCTCTGCTGCCTTCTTTCATCGTCGTCTTCTTCTTCCCTTGCATTGGTTTGGGGTTGTGGCCCAAGGTGTCCCCTTGTCCCCCTGCTTTTTGCTTTCTCGTTGCTGTATTTGAAGCTAAAACAAAGGGCCCACTTGCTAGCTGAGAGCAGTAACTTTTCCTGAGCTTTTCCCCTTTCCCCGCCCCGGTAGGTAAAAACTGCTCTTTGAGCCGGTTTGCTCTGATGGACTAAAACTTTGTGGATGATGTGGTGATTTTTTGTCATTGTGAGTTTAACCCTTTCCCGTGCCGGGCTGAGAAGGGGATGTGGACGCCAGCCTGGGAGACTGTGTGTATTGGTGGAGTGTCCCAAATGTTGCGGGGAGCAGCGAAGGAGCTGTCAGTGGGAGAAGACCAGGGACTGCCAAGTGACTTGGAAGGGGCAGAGGTAGAGCATGGAGCAGCATTTCTTGGCCAGAGAGACTTAAGAGAAGAGCAGAGAGGTCAGGGAGAGGGATGGTTTTGGGAAGACAGCGATGATGTGGAAGAGGGATGCTGGGAGACACATGCAGGTGAGCAGTATCTGGTCCTGGGGTCTCTTGCGTTGGGTGCTGGAGCATGCAGAGAGATGGACCTCAGTATGTGCAGTGCTCTGAGGGTTAGGGATCAAGAGGCAAGATCCACAGCGTATCTAAAGACGTGTTTTGTCGTCTCAAATGGAGGTGACTGTGCGGATCTGGCATTAGGAGAGGACGAGAGGTTGAAATCCAAGGCTCTGGGAGGCTGTGGTGTCGTCATGTGAGCTGTTGATGCCAGTTCTCTGTTCGGGTGACCCCAGGGTGCTGAGAGCATTGGCGTGGGTGAGACCTGCCTCTCCGCAGCACCTCGAATGCCGGTGCTTGTAACACGTGCTGAGCGTGGTGAAATTGGTGGTATTTTGGCGTGCTGTGTAGCGGCTCCTAAGATACAGGCTCCCTGCTTGCCGTGAACACACATGAAATATAGTCCAAACTGCACTTACACAACCGTGGTGACAAACTCCTGGGGCAAGTATTGGCCCAAGCTGGCTGTTTTAAAGGTTTCTTTCTCCCTTGAGCCTTGTTTAAAGTTTGTTGGGTTTTGGGTTTGTTTGGTTTTTTTTTTCCCTTGAGCCTTGTTTTGTGCTCTCCCTTGCACAATGAGGCTAGCTGGGGAGCACGTGCAGAGCTCTGTGCTTATCTGGAGTCCTCCCACCCAGTGTGTGCTGGGAAGAGAAACAACAGTGTATATGTTTTCCCACCAGTGAGAGATGCAGAGAGGCTGGCACCAGCCTGACCTGCCTTTTGATAAGATCAAAACCTGATTAAAATCTCTGGGCTCGTTATTGTGTTGGCTCAGCCGCTTGAGAAGCGAGGTAGGAAGCTGAGGCGCGCGTGCTGTGTGTGTCGGGAGCGCTCGGTGTTGTTTTGGGAGCGGGGTGCTTCACGGCGAGGGTCTGCGTGCCCCCGTGCTCCGCTCTCGTGTGGTGGGGACACGGAAGGCCAGTTGGGTCGCTGCTCACTGATGCTTTGAGGGGCGCCTAATGCCGCTGCCTGTGCATGTGCCGTTTCACTGTCCTGCTTGGCTGGTGGCATCTGAGGGGTGGCTTTGGTGCCTGTGCACGCCTGATGAGGTTTCTCTGGGTGGTGATTTGGACCATGCATGTTTGCAGGTGGATGGGAGGCACGGGGGCATTGCACGGGTGTCACAAGTTAACACGCTGGAGCCGCAAGGCTGGCCATCGATAGCAGCACAGGAAGCCTGGCACTTGTCTTGGGGACCAGAGCGGCCCTGAAACACTTAGAATCTCCTGATGATGAGGGATTTGGCTGTAGTCTTGTCTTACACCTATGGTTTCGAGGCGTACAGGTGTTGTGATACGCAGGGAGCATATACATATGCATGTATATACACACACGCACGCATGCACGTCTAGATCGATTTTATGTAGTATATCCATAGCTAGATGTATATAAATAAAAAGGTATGTACTGCGCCGGCAGTGTGCGCTTGCAGCCCAGAAAGCCAACCGTGTCCTGGGCTGCATCAAAAGAGGTGTGACCAGCAGGTCAAGGAAGGTGATCCTGCCCCTCTACTCTGCTCTGGTGAGACCCCACCTGGAGTACTGTGTCCAGCTCTGGGGGACCCAGTACAGGAGAGACATGGAGCTGTTGGAGAGAGTCCAGAGGAGGGCCACGAAGCTGATCGGAGGCATGGAGCACCTCTCCTATGAGGACAGGCTGAGAGAGTTAGAACTGTTCAGCCTGGAGAAAAGAAGGCTCCGGGGAGATCTAATTGTGGCTTACCAGTACCTGAAGGGGGCCTACAGGAAAGATGGTGAGGGACTGTTTATCAGGGAGTGTAGTGACAGGAAAAGGGGTAAGGGGTTTAAGCTGAAGGAGGGTCAATTTAGATTAGATGTTAGAAAGAAATTCTTTGCTGTTAGAGTGGCGAGGCACTGGAACAGGTTGCCCGGAGAGGTTGTGGATGCCCCATCCCTGGAAGTGTTCAAGGCCAGGTTGGATGAGGCTTTGGGCAACGTGGTCTAGTGGAGGGTGTCCCTGCCCGCAGCAGGGGGGTTGGAACTAGATGATCTTTAAGGTCCCTTCCAACCCAAACCATTCTATGATTCTTGGTCTCCAAGCTTTGAATGCACGGCTTACGTGCCCAGGACCATCTGCAAAGAGGGAGTTAGCTGGCTCAGCAGCAGTCTGCAGAAGCTCTCGATGGAGAGGGCTCTCCCTAGCTTTGAGCGAAGGCCCTTCTCACTCGCTGCAGATCACGGCAGCAATCAGGCGTAGCGGTGGCTGTGCTTCTGAGTGCTGCCACGCTTCAAACACCACGGCGGGAGGCAGATGCGCACCCTCGTTTCAACCCAGTCCACCAGTGTTTCAGACTGGGGGCGGACGATCGTACGCCAGCGGTGGGAGACACACAGAGAACAGATGGGCGGGATGTGGCAGCTCGTGACCGTGTTTTGTTCTTGGTCCTCTGTGCTTTTTCGGATAGCCCTGGCCCCAGCAAGCTCACGCTTTAGGCAGGGCAAAATGCATGTGATGAGTCAAGGACGTGGCCACAAAACAAGCTGTTGGTGCAGAAGAGAAATCCTCGGTTGTGGTTTTTCTGCTCTAGTACCAAGCAGCATAGGGTATGTGGGGGCTTGGCTTTGCTGCAGCACCTCTGGTGCTCACAGCTGCTTTGCTTAGTGCCTCTAAGAAATCTGTACACTGCAGTCCAGCTCCTGGAGAGCCGGTTAGGAGTGCTGGAAGGGATGTGCCGAACGACAGACCTTTGCTGGTGTGTCAGAGGAGCAGGCGGGCTGAGCTGTAATCCCAGCGTTGGCAGCGCGCCTGCACCAGCTCTGCTGGTCTCTGCATCCTCATCCCCTCACCTGGAAGTTAAGGATGTTGGAGGGACCTGATGCCGGGATTGATTATGCCATGCTTTGAAATGAAAAGCATTTACGTGGAGGTGCGGTATCGCTGTAGACATCTGTTTTTCTTTGCTGCAGAGGCAAGACAGACTTTCTATGCTGTTCTGCCTTAGCCTGTGAATAGCTTAAGCTAAGCCCTGATCCCAAGACAGCAGCTTAGGGCACATGGAAGTCAGCATAGGTGGTGAAAAGGAGAAACGTGGGTTTCTGGTGCATGGGAGATGGGCAAGGCTGGCATGGAGGGAGCTGTGGAAGTGTGCATGGGCATGCGTCCCTTCTCCGCACCTCGGTGTGCGCAGTGGAGCAGCGCTGACCTCAACGGATCAGCCATCAGTTTTCAAAAAGCTACTTCTGTGTCCCCTAGTTCCAGTCTCCTCAGAGCACTCGGAAGGGGCTGAAAAAGATGATGTGCGTATGCAGCTGAAGAGGCATCTGACCCCCAGCCCGACCCAGTGCACCAAATCCTCCAAACGAGCCAAAATCAAGGTGACCATTGTCTCTCATGGAGATGCTGCTGGCGTGGGGAACGGAGCCCCCCTCACCACCCAGGCAGAAAGTGAGTTGCGATTGCATAGCTGCTTTTTAACCAGAAAGCGAGGTCATGGCTGTGTGCAGACCCGCTCCTCTGGGGGTGTGGCTTGGGGAGGGAGGGGAGTTGTGATTTTGGTTATTTTTTGGAGGAGTTAACTGCAGAAAACAGATGGAGGCTCAAGGCGTGAGTGACTTGGGGATAGCCGGGGAAGCTGGGGGCTGACGGCATGTAGGAGCTTGGCAGGAGCCTCTGTTTTCCATACCAGTTGGGACTGTGCGCTCCAGCAGAATGCTCGGCTGCAGCCTTGTGAGCTGCGAGGTGAATTTTACACCTTCCTCTGAGGCATCGAGCCTCGCTTCAAGTACGTCGTGTGCGTCCCCGTTTCTGCTGCCTGCTCCTGTGGCTCCTGTGCGAAGCTCTCACCTGGAAGGCGCCGACGGCGATGTTCCTCCCTCTGGAAGTCCTTCGTGCGTTCAGACTTCACAAATCAGCCGAGCGTCCCGCTCTGCTGAAGCCCTTTGGGCCTGAAGCCTGGCACAATATGCGCTTGATCCACGTATAAATAAACTCCAGCGCCTCTCCTGTCTCTGCAGCTGGGAAAACCCACTGTGATGAGCTTTGCAGAGGTCCCTGCGGTCCAAGAAGAGGCGATTTGCTCGGTCTTCTTCCCCTTGAGCCTTTGCAAGGGAGGCCAGAAGCTTTTACTGTCACCCTTGTAACTGAAGGATGTTGCCTTATTGCTGGCCACGCTGGCGTGTACGGCTTCCTCATGTCAGAGTGCAGAGCCCCAGATATGTAAAGCAGTCGCTTGTTATTACCGTTAGCTCAATGCACTGCAGGACTGAAAGGTCAGCGTCTCCATCCTGATAGGAAATTGGAGGTTTTCAAAGCCGAGAAGATGCTCCTTTGGAAGCATCTCTCGGTTGATGAACAGTTGTTTTGAACTCTCTGAAAATGAACTAATACATACAGATCCTTTTTTAAGGTTACAGTTTATCTCCTGGCAGCTTTGAATATCTCTGGTTTCCGGAATATTTTTTTTTTTTTAATTTTCCAAACTTTACTTCTTTTCACAGAAAGGAAATGAATTGCAGAAGTAAACATGAACCAAAACAGGAGTTCCCTCTTACCGCGTGTGAGCAGGAGGAATGCACAAGACAAACGCAGTTGTATCCCAAAAACGCCGCAATAAACAAATATTGTGACTCGTCGCATCCCTGTGTATTTTGTAAAGTGTCTCTAAAGAATGCTTACAAAATCGATCGCTAGCGACCAGCCAGATCCAAACTAATTGGTTGAGGCGGTGATGGACTAGGAGGAGGGGATTAGTGGAGATAACGTTTAGGAGAGAGAATTGCATTTGGTGCTGAGGGCCTGAGATTTCACTACTTACAGATTTTGAAGCGAATTCCTTCAATCCCGTCTGTTGTAACACTTCCACAACGGCAGCTTTCCGGCGGTGTGGGGTTTTTTTGGGGTTTTTTTGTGTTTGGTTTTTTTATTCGCAACTCTGCTCTGTTTGATACTCCCGATCTCCCGTGGTGCGGTGGCTGGAGTGCGTGTTTATGGCTGGCTGCAGCGGAGATTTCCTTGAGGAAGATGCTTTGTGAGCAGCCTGAGCCCATGGCCTGCAGCGCTGTGCCTGTGGGTAGTCGGGTGAGAGAGGGGGAATCCCTAAAGACTCGTGGAAGAGACAGAGAGTGAGATTTCTTCTTTCCGGTTTTTTTGCAGTTGTCGCCGGAAAGCCGGTCCCCATGGCTGTCGGCCAGTCTGTGTCGGGCGCAAAGGAGCTGTCAGGACTGCTCGCCACCCCCAAGTGAGTGCGACTTTGTTTTTTGTAAGTTCTGGGTCTTTTTGACAGGCTGCCGATGGGAAGCACCGCAACAGAGTGATTTCTGCATGTAGAGCTTTCTGATAGCTTGCTTATGACTGGAATTTTCTGAAGTGCAGGAGGCTCTTGGGCTCCTAAAAAGTATTTGTCAACCAGCAATCAAGTCTGAGAATGGCAGAAACGGGCTGCTGCAGCCAGATATTGTGGCTCTGGGGCTGTATTTCTATGTGGTTTCCCAAATCCAAGTTTGCTTATCGTTGTCTTTTGAATGACTGTGGTGTCTTTGCCAGAAATTCAGTGTTGTCTTTAATCCTTTCCTTCATTCCCTCTGACAGTTGAGCATTTTTTTCCCAAAGATAGGGGAAAGAAGCCTCAATATCAGCTCAAGAAATCGATTAACCGACCATAGGGATTTCTGTTGGGGAGTGAATCCGATGTTAACATCTCGCATCACTATTTTCCCTTTTAATTCAAATCAAGCTTTGGAAAACCGGACACTGACTGGGAGGGGAGAGGAAGAAGAGCTGTTCTCAAATAGAAAGTAGGTTTGTAAATGGGAAATGTTTCACTGGAAAGTAGATTGCTTTTGCGTAGGGTGACGCAGCCCTAGGTAGGCACGCACTTCCTATTTGGAAATAACGTGCTTTTTCTCTAGCTGCCGCAGTGGACACAGGGAAACTTGTCTTACTTTGGGTTTTTGTAGCTCATCAGCCTTACGCTTCCAGGAGACCCGCTTGGTTACGTTAGGCCAGCGACAGCTCATTGTCAAAGCCACCTCGTGTGTTGTCCTGTGTAGTTTATAGCTAACCAGGGTCTTTCTCTTCTCGCTTTGTAGGCTGAGTTCGGCAGCAGAAACCTCCTCCACGAGTCCCGCTCCCTCTGCCGTGATCCCCAGCAGCACGGCGCCCAGCGCTTTCCATGCCCTGCAGAGCCGGCTGGTGGCCAGCAGCACCCACTGCGTGCCAGCTCAGCCAACCAGTAACCTCCAAGGTGCCTACCTCTCTCTCCCGCGTCTCTCTTGTGAATATAAAAAGCAAACCAGGTTCAAAATCATTTGGTGGATCCTCTTTCTTGCATTCCCTGGTTGCTTTGAGTTTGGCTGAGGCAGCATTTGTAGTGCTTTGCTGTTGCAGAGCCTGCAGAGATCCAGCGGGATGCTATAAAGCGAGGCTGAAGGTGCAGTAGGTGACCTGTTAATTGTGTCATTTGTGTGTAACGATGCCTTGAGATTCCAAAACCGACCTCCTCTTGACTCCCGGGTTTCACAGCTAACCTCGTTTATAGCTGCAGCCAGAAATGCGTTGGTCTGTGTGTGTGGAGCGGCTGGGAGGATCCCCGCCGACCTCGAGGCAGGCTGCTTGGGGCACTGCTCTTTAAAGAACAGTTTTGCAGACACCTGCCATATGACAGATCTGGAATTTAATGCTGGTGAATGCTCTGAGCCTGATTTCTTTATTCTTTGCTTCCCCCCCCACCCCCTCAGGAGCAGCATCTGCCAGCAGTCTGCTGCAGGGGCTGAGCTTCAGCCTGCAGGACATCGGGACCAAGTCGTCAGCCCTTCCAGCCAGCGTGGCTGCTGCTGGGGCGCCTGTGCAGGTATGCAGCCTGCAGACATCAGAGATCCCTCTCTGGAGGGAAGCTGTGTGGAGGATAAAGCAGTAGGAGTCAGAGGGAACCGAGACAGGCCATGTTTGCTGCAGAACCTGAAGAGGTGAGGGACGGTAGGTGTGAGCTGCAGCTGAACTGAAGCATCCAAGCCTTGGCGATGTGTCGGGGGCTAAGAGTTCCTGGAAGCGGCATGAGGTCTGGGAAACAGGGCTGTGAGAAGTTGTTTGTGGGCAGTCACCTAGAAAATGCTGAGAAGGAGTTGGAGAATGGATGAGGGATGGATTGGCGATCTTCCCCCTTCTTGTTGTGCTGGGAGAACGCATGTCTGTGACCTCTCAGGCAAGTTCCCCATCCCTGCAGTGTGAGGCGACCTCTTTCGGAATGGGTGGCTTCGTTAGAAGCGGAGCCACAGTTTCTCCCAGTCACGCTTTCAAGCTGAAATGAGTATGCACAGACTAGAAGGGACGAGGTTACTTGCCTTTAGACCCGCTTGCGGCCACCAGAATGACATGCGGAATCTCTGACCTCTACAGGCCTCTAGCTTCTGCGTGAGGGAAAGGCCGTGCCATCCCGGCATCCCCTTTCCTTCTAGGTACTCAGTGCTTCTGCTTCTTCTTCCAGACCTCAGCTGTGAAGACGCCCGCGCCTATCCAAAACCTGAGTGCCATAACCACAGGCACCGGCACGATTGTCCGCACCATCCCAGTTGCCACCTCTTTGTCTCTGGGAGCCTCAGCGAGCGGGAAGCCCACGGCCATTCACCAGCTGCTGACAAACGGGGGACTGGCGAAGCTGGCCAGCAGTCTCCCTGGCCTGGCTCAGATCTCCAACCAGGCAGCAGGTGAGGGAGAAGGGGAACAGGCACACAATGCAGGTGCCTGGAGCACCGCATCGCCCTGAGACCGGCATTTCCAAAGCTTATTTTGCCTTTGAGCTGTAGTTACGGACAGCTGTGCATGCTAGCAGTTTCTGAGCAGCTGCCTCTAATGGGAGGAAGCTTTAATGCAGCCCCCCGGTTGGTGAACCGTGGCTTCCGCAATCCCCGTGTCTCAGGGACGTTTCGTTCGCGTGTTTTCTAGGCTTGAAGGCCCCAACGACTATTACTGTGACGTTGCGTGGGCAGCCCAGCCGTGTGACCACGCTTAGCCAGGCTGCAATGGGGACTGTCCAGCCCCAGCTCGAGGAACAGCCGATGCAGACACAGGCTCCTCAGGTAATTTTTGACATCATCTCTGTAGCAAAAGTGTCCGCTGCTGCTCTTTTGAGCTTTTTCTGATTATTGCAGATGTAGCTGTTGTGGGGAAGGTCGTCTTGGTTGCATCTCTCTTGGGTGCGATGAACTTTGTTGCTTTGCTGAGGCGGCACAGAAAGGGACCTCGCGAGGCGGTGGTCGAGAGGACCCGGGTCATCTTTGTGTCTGTTAGCGGCAGGGTCGATCGCGCTCGATATCACGCTAGTACCGCACCGAGGAAATCTCTGGCTAGGCTTTGAAAGCCGTCATTGGCATGGGAATTCTTACTGCTGAGAAAGCCTGGAGCTCCAGGAACAGGTTTTGGTGGGAGGAGGAAAGCTGCTTGTAGAGTGTCTATCCCCTGCCTATTCAGGCAGGAGAGTGGGTTGGCCATGCTGTCTGGAGCTGTACTCCTTTTTGTTGTTGTTTTTTTTTTTTTTTCCTCTTGCACATGATTTTCCTACTTTCGATCACACTAACACAGGTCCCGGGCGGGTCAGCTGGTGTAGGAGAGGCAGAGCGATCTGCGCTTTGTAGATGAGGCTCTGTAGTCTTGGTCCCTGTTGCTGGGCTGGCTCGAGTTGTGGGCAGCATTGTGGAGGCAGGGGGCATGCTTCTCCTCCTTGGTGCTCTCTGCAGAGGCTGTTTGAGGTTGCTGAAAGCCCTGAGATATATTTAGGGAGGCATTATCCGAAAGGTGAAGCCTTTGGGTGGAAGTTGGGTAAGTATTAACAGCAGCAGCCATAAATCCATAATTAATTAGAGCTGGCGTTGCCCCCGCCGTTGCTGGTAGTTTCCACGTAGAGTCCTTGTTCGCTGCTGGTTAAAGCTCAGATTTGGGACCATCCACGTCCCTCCTCCCTTGACTTTCCTTTGTTTCTTTCAGTCATTTTGCTAGCATGACAGAGCCTGTGAGCGTTGGCAGAGCTGAGCTTAGAGCCAGCTAAGGTAGAGCTCGGAAACGCAGAGCTAGTGACACTCGGTGCAGATCCCAACTAGGCAGTGGGTGAGTCGCTTTCGTAGGTCTGAAACTCTCCATCCATGCTGGAGGTAGTCTTTGTCCTCTTTCAGGGCCGTGTAATACACCACCAGAACTGGCGTGGTTTTCTTTACATCCTTTGTTACCTTTGATAGACCCTAAATATCCAGCAGAACAGTAACCCCATGGCGTAATGAGACTTGGTACAGATGACCTCCAGGGTTAATGAGTTCACGTACGGGTAAATGTTTTCAGGCGGTGGCACTTGGAACCGGATATTGGATGGTACGCTGCGACTTTAACCTACAGCACTGAGCTTGTGTGTTCAAGGTAGGGCTTAATTGTGCGGTTGGCCGCGAGAGTCGCTTCAAAAGCGAACCGAAAGCTGTTTTTTACAGGAAATGGAACGAGCTGTATGTTGTTGTAACTAATTATAGCCCTTGACATCAGCTCGTGTGTACCTTTAGCACGTAAGGATTACATAATCTAGCAGGGCTTTCTGTAAAAGAGCACATTTATAAAAGGCTTTGGGGGATAAATCTGAAGGCTTAAACTTGTGTTTTCAGCGGTAGCCAAAGCTGTTGTGGGTTGGGTTCCCTGTGCCCGCATAGGAGGCGTGAAGCCCACGCATTAGGTGTGCGCCGAGGCTTTCAAACTCTGGGGGCTGGGGCAATGCCTGTAGCAGCTGAGGTGCAGTTTGAGCAGGTAACTCTCTTCCTTCCCCTGCGGATGTTAAACGGGAGGCGGAAGGCTGAGGGGAATCTCCCTGGGGAGCTTGGTGCAAATGGTTTTTGAGAGTAGCAGAGTAAGAAGAAGCGAGAGTGTTTGGGTGGCTTTAAAGTGAAAATACGAGCAAGCTTCAGCTTCTCTTTTCAAGAAACTGCTCTACGGCGGTTTGAACGTGGCTTTTTTGTATGGGTTCCCCCCTGCAGCATGGTTGTATCCTGACAGTAGCTCCACAAAGCATGGAGCGATGCTGATGCTGGATCACGCCCTTGTTTTCCGCTTAGTGGCGTGAAGATCGAGGTGTCCTGGTTTGAGCTTTGGGCAAGGGTCTCCCCCAGATGGCACGAGCCTCCCTTGCCGCTGCCCAGAGCCGTCTGCTGGGGGTGGATGTGCTGTAAGCAGGCAGTAAACACCTTTCTTTTCCTGAAGTCTGACTCTTTCCGCTCCCGGGGACAGAAATATTAGTTACAGCGAACGAAGCACCCTTAAATTGCTGCACGAGGCATGGAAAAGTGGGCTGCGACCTCCACAGACATCAGGTGGAGGGGGCTCTGACTTGAGCTTAGGCACTGCTTGTCAGTGGTGGAGGAAAGCAGCGAGTTGGCTCAGAGAAGTCTGACCGAAGAGGTGCGGGCAGCTGCTTTTGTAACTGCAAAAAGCTGCTTTGGAGCTTGAATTACATCAGCTCAGGGCTGTGAGGGCTCCCAGGGAGAGCATAGGAGCGCACGTGGCCAGCTCTCTTGCGGAATCAGATTGCCGATGCACCCAGACAGAGTTCAGGCAAGTGAAGCCGACCCAGAGGCATTTGAAGAACCCTTCAAATGAGGGAATTTCCAGGTATTTCACTGAATTGTCAGTGCTGCCACCTGCCTTAGGATACAAATCCAAACTCCCCAGTCATCCCAGTATTGGACATCTGGTGGATACTGGTGCTGTGTAACCATCTGGCTCTTGTCAGAGGGGCTTGTACATCTTTGTCGAGCCAGAGGGAAGCTCTTCTGATGCAGAGGATGGTGTGTACTGTTCCCGGTTTTTGCTGGGCTTTTGCTGGTAATAGTGTGTCATTCTTGCCGGGGGTCCGCACGATGCGGCAATCGTTCTTGAGCTCCTGGCTCTTGCTTTACTTTTGCTACAGGGGAGACGACAGCAGGATTGATTTCCCTGACAGCCAGAGACGGGGATAGAGCCATCCAGTTCCACTCCAGAAAAAGGCAATGAGTTTGTGCCGTTCTCAACCCAAGCACCAACAGTGGTGTCAGTGCTGCAAATGACACCAGCATGCTTTTAAAATACAGATCCCTGCAGATTTTCTCTCGGTATGCGGTTTTCCTTGAGCTTGGTAATGAGCGGTCGGAGTGAGGGCAAGACTAGAAGCAGCAGAGCGAGGGTGTGCTCCGATATTTATTGGGTTTTTTTAGGTGAGGGCTAGCGCAGGTCCCGAGGAATGGTTGCAACCCCCCCACAGATGGTGTATCCTTGGCAGCAGGGCACTTCCAGTAGCTCTCCGTTACTTTAACCCTTCCAGGCTCCAGACGGTGCAGTTGGGAACCTGGCCGCCCC